CTGTTTCCTCCTCCGCCTCTATCCGAGACAATCATATATCTAGAGAGCTGGGTTTGCGGTAAATCAAACCGTATTTTGATTTGTGTTCCTGGAGGCAACCACGCATCATCCACATTGAAGAAGGGAAGGAATGGTCTCATTTTGAACTGGAAATGCCCTGATGTCACACGGGCAACGTTTTCCAGAACAGTATTACTGAAGTTCTCCTCATTCGACAGGTGGACAGTGGGCCGTCTTTTCAGTGTCGTACCATCGAAATCATCTTCGCCATCTGTGTTTGTTGCAAACGCATAGGCGTGCGAGCGTTTTACACCATACCGATAATTCCCTAGAGGTATATCTTTAACACACTTCTGGGGGTCGAGTTTCTGAAGTCCGTACAGATCAGAATCGGAATATTGGAGTTTAGCCACGTCACTCTCCATAAGGCTAAGAATGTGTTGCACACTCTGCATATCTTGCACCTTGCTAGATTGCGTCACCTCCGTGCCATTTAGTTCCACGCGGATATTCTTGAACCATGAAAATGCAGGGGAGGTGGTACACACCCAGTGTGGATATGATCTGGCTCCATTAGCCCGACTATCACTAACTTCATACCGGAGTTTGACGATAAAGTAACTTTCACTCAAGGCAATGAAATTTGGTGATGATATATCCAATTCGCTGTTCAGAGAGGGTGGTGAACCATTTCGAGAATACAGTCTTACAAAGTTTCTCCCCTCTAGGAGTGATATCTTCTTTTCGGTTCGCTCTAGGATGCTATTCTGCACCACTTTAGTTTTCGACAGCAGCCCCTTAAAGGGGTCTGGGATCTGAGTGGCCACGACGTGCTGCGCCATTCTTACTTGTACGTGGAAAAATTTACTCGATTCTCAGATCCAATAACGCCGGGTACCCCGTGGTGATAAACTCTCCAGTGTTGTACTTCAGCCAAAATGATATTTCCGTAACGCTTGAGTGCGGAAGTAGAGCGCGTTTGTCTCTCTCTCCAAATATGTAATTGTTGATACCGTTGTGAGTTTGAATGGGGAACGTCTTCAAAATCCTCGAGTCCTGATTGTCTTCATATTCGACGGCCTGGGCGATCAGGTCTGTATACAACAACACAAACCTTCTCCCTCTAGTCAGATCAACTGCATACGGTGATGTGAAAAGACCAGGTTGTATGGTCACGGATTCTGCAATCGATCCCAAGCCCAGAACGACACTGGGGGAGTCGGGTTTCAGGATAATTTTTTTCCCGACAGGTACGCTGATGCTCGCTCGGCTTGTATAGCGGGAATAGGAAAACACAATATCTGGGTGATTTGCACTTTTCAGTGCCTCGTTAATGACTGTAATGAGATCTGCAATATCCGTGTGAGTTCCTGTTAGGATGGAGAGTTGAACTTCCCCTTCTTGTGTCTCCACGTACAATTTGTTACTCTCCGTATCAACGTTTTCAGAATGAAGTTCGAACTGGGCAGTGTCCAAACTGATGTGTTTCCCTATGGTATTCAAAGACCTGATACGCAGTGTAAAATGAGGCGTGAACGCACCGGCTATAACGGCAGAAGCGTTGTTTACTGCAGACAGTACCACCGCCATACCTACTGTACAGGGGAAATATTTCCCCATAATAACAAGGATGGCGTTTTGGAGCATGCATTTCCACAAGAGCCCGTCTGAGGAAACCTCCAGCCGAACAATAAGAACCTTGAAGGATGATATTGCGCAACTCAAAACTCTGGTGGGTAACGATAACACCAAAAACACCCTGATGTACAATGTCGGGGCACTACAGAACAGCAAGTTGAATAAAACAGATGCTGAGATCATGGAGGGTCGAATCAAAGAATTCGCGGAGTCAACGGTGATAGATGACGAAACCCATTTGAAAACGGATGGCAGCGTGAGGATGAGAGGAAATCTGCACATGAATGGCAAACGTTTATGCTGGCTGGATTACGACGATGTGTCGGACACCTGTGCTGTACCTGCTGGGTGGGTGAAGAAGGAATTAGCCCAAATCCGCAAAATGAAAGGTCCTAAAGGTGATCCAGGATTTGGTTGGTATAGCGGAGCAGACCCTCCGTCGCCACCCATCGGCAGACAGGGTGACTTCTATTTGGATGCTACCACCCTCGTTGTATATAAAAAACTCATTGCGGGTTGGACTGCATTCGGATCACTTAAAGGACATCGAGGAAGACCAGGGGTTCCTGGACCAAAAGGAAGTCCTGGCCCGACTGGGGAATCTGGATTGCAAGGTTTAAGGGGCCACACAGGACTGCAAGGACCCCAAGGACCATCAGGACACATAGGTGCTACAGGACCGCAAGGACCCCCAGGAAACATAGGACCCCAAGGACCTGAAGGATCGCCAGGCCCTCAGGGTGACATGGGACCGCCGGGGCCCAGAGGTCCTCGGGGCCACAGTGCAAAGAGTCTTCCAATACTTCTTCCATAATACGAAAACCAGAGTGAGATTATAGAAATGTTTCCTTTCTTTTCAATTCAACGAATTCATGCAATGGATGGTTTGATTACGGTTGAAATTGACTGTATGATTCATAAAGAACAATATTCTCCAAGCAAGTGATGACACGTGCACCTTAAATCAGTTTAGAATGCCTGCACAATGGTGGATAGTATATAGATCAATGCATCTGGATAGTCATCATAAGCCAGTGAGGCAGCAAGTGGTAGCTTCGGTTCAACTCCATAATGTTGGATGAGTTCAATCATTAGCTGTTCTTCTTGCTCTGTCATATCCACCGTCCTCTCAATAAACCGTTCAAAGTGAGCCTTACGTAGTTTCTTTGGGGTTATGACCTTCATCCACATTTTGAAGAACACTGGGGAAGTCTTGAATAGGGAAGCATTTCTCATCCATGCATCTTTGCTTCTGGGGAGATGAAGACTGAGTATCTGCACCATCTCTTCATCTTCATAGTAAATGCATGACAGGGCGATGGCATAATTCAGAGCTCTATACTCACTGCCCTTCTTCATAGCGTAGAGGCGTTGCCGAGTTTCAAAAAGCGATGGGTATAGCGGCTTACACACTCCCACCTTCTCGATAAAAGCCCCCAGACTTTTATCCACTGATTCCAGTCGCTGCACATCTGTGTAAGGCTTACTGGGCAGCATTACACGCTCTGCTACATTTGCCTCTGGCGCAAACAAAGAGCCCAAGACTAGACCACATTTCATGCAAACGACAGCTTCTTCCGTTTCTATTTCTTCATGGTTACACCCATCACAAAATTCAACTTCCTCCTGAAACTCCATGGTGCCAAATGCAACTGTAATGATCCTGACGCATTACTTTATCCCTTCCACTAATTGTTATCGGCCAATCAGCATACTCTCGTCACCTCACATCCAATCAGCATACCCCACGTCACACTAACGTTACACACACTTGTGTCATATATGCGAAAAAATGGTACTGGATCATAGCAAAATCCTACTGGATAATGAACAAAATAACGATTAAAACACAACACACAATAACAACAACAACAACCAACAACAACCAACAACAACCAACAACAACCAACAACAACCAACAACAACCAACAACAACCAACAACAACCAACAACAACCAACAACAACCAACAACAACCAACAACAACCAACAACAACCAACAACAACCAACAACAACCAACAACAACAACCAACAACAACAACACGGCCAGGGACTGAAAGTCGCACGCTAAGTATGGGCAACTTGTCAGTGCACATCTACGATGTGCGAATAAAACGAATGCAAGGAAAGTGAACTTGTTGCTGCACATCTACGAAGTGCGAATCAGGGAGTAGTATAATGACACGTGTACTAGTACACCTTGTGTTGCACTGCGTCTTTTCCGCAGGGCCACTGAAGGTCGCACGCTCCGCGTGCTTATGCACGCATGCGCAATATGTCACTGCACATCTACGATGTGCAAATCAGGGAATAGTACGTATTTTACTACTCCCCGGTGCGAATGCACCGAACGTGCACAAGTGCACGTTCGCCACGGAAAAGAACATGATGACATTTATGGCATGGCAGGGGTCAAAGGTCAAACTCTGGGGGGTCCCGGGGCCAGACCCAGCACGACCGACACAGTGTGCCTTATTTGGCCCAAAGGTCAAAGGTCAAAAAGTGGGCCAGAACCTGCCCCGCACTTACTACTATCCAGCTCTGGCTTTGTCTCAGAGCTAAGGATACATCCCTGCTAAGCCAAAGGCACGACTGACTCACAGCAATTGCACAACGCGCAGCACACAGTGGCAATCTTGTCAATGACAGCAATGTTTGGATCACCGCTGTCACGCATGAGGAGGTTGATCGGCAATGTGGATTGCAACAGTGTATACTTGTTGCGTAGCACACCAATCACACGCTCAACATGAATCCGGACTCGGGAGAGCAGTCTCGCTTTGTCAATTTCAATTCGAGACAACTGGCTCTTCCCTCTCGTGAATGGTGGGATCACAAGCTCAGCACAGTACAGACCTACGCTGTCTTGTACAGTGAATCCCCTATCTGCCAGTACCTGGTCACCCGGGAGGAGTTTCTCCAGAAAGCCACAATTCTCGGTGATGTGCTTATCCGATGTCCTCCCACCCCAGGCTTGTGAGATGAACGATATTACACCTTGCGGTGTAATGGCAATGAGGAACTTGATCGTGTTGTGCGATTTATAATGTGAGTATGACTGCGCTCTCACCATCAGATCAGAGGGACGCTGGCAGAATACTTCGAAGCAGTCGATGATGCACACACACTTCTTGAAATTCTTGGCGAACTCTGGCGGCATTGTCTTGCCTAGATCACCCGGATCTGGCCATCTTACAAGTGGCTTCATACGCACATACATAATGTTCACCCACTTCAGCACATACCTCGACACGGTACTCTGGGCCACACCAAAACGATACCCAAGGTCAGAATCATTTAAGATCAGGCGGAGCTTCATTAGCGTCATCAAGAACTGCGTGAACAATGAGGTTGCCGGGCGGTTGTGACGCTCAACATCGCTGGAAACAAACTCAAAAACAGTGATGAGCACAGCGTACGTTGGCAATCCGGTGTAGAGCTTCACCTTGTCATCATTACATATCAGATCGTTCTCAGAAAGTGCTGCTCCACCACGGAGAGTTGAGTTTTGGGCCCTTAATTTCTTCACCTCCTCTCTCAGCAGCAAGTTCTCACATTTCAAATTATCGAATTCTGACTCGTGATGACAGCATTTACCACCAGTGTCTGGACTAGCTGAGTCGGTCCTATCGCTGCTCTCCACAGGGATCTCCACAGGTTTGTCAGCAATCTACAAAACAACAACAATAACAACAAAAATAACTCAAGCATTCCAAACCCTCCATGTTATGTAAATCTCATTCTATTATCTCTTATTAGCCACAGTACAGCCTGCCATCGTGAGGATAAGGATTTGAATTTCGACAGCCTTGTCGGCAGGTTTGCAGTTGCATTAGTACTCACCACGCTCGGTGGAGGAGTATCATCCCTGCTCTCCTCAGGGATCTCCACAATATTGTCAGCAATCTACCAAACAACAACAGTACACACAGGCCATCGTGAGAATAAAGATTTGAAACAACAACCTCCTAATAATCACTCTACTCTCATATTGGCCACAGTACAGGCCATCGTGAGGATACAGATTTGAATCTTGACAGCCTTGTCGGCAAACAGACTTGCAGTTGCATTAGTATACAGAGTAGTACGAACTCACCACGCTCGGTGGAGGCGTATCTGCACCGGTATCGAACACCGGGCCTGACCGTACACGCTTCGATCTCCGCTCGTACGCTTCTAGTTGCTCCTTCTGTTTCCGTTTCACAGGGCTCTGTACAAATAAAAAAAAACTGACGGCAAATAATCTGGAGAGAGAGGGTCATCACTCTTCTTTCCACCAACAAAATGTGCAGAGCACAGCCAAGTGTTTTGATTTGGTGACCACTTGTCACGACGAACATCTACAGTCCACTTCTTCCGTTTCACAGGGTCTGCCGGAAAGCGGTAGAAACTGACAACCGAACCAACCTTAGACCGGTTACTGCAGCCAACAGCACAACAACTTTTGACCATCGTACTAGCAAAACTGCAGAAGGAATGACTCTTCCACAACGAAACAAAAAATGCCTCCTCCCTCATAATAATAATCAGATCAGCAGCTGCTTCTCAAGTTCAAAAATTTAGTTTTTTGCCACTCAGTCCCTCATGATGAGCTCAGCGGGGCACCGTTACTATGGAGATTGCAGCCTGTGACGTGTATTGCATAAGGTCTATACGCTGTACGGGGAGATTTTTCCTCAGTATGTTGTAGGCGGTGCTGGAGGGGACGTGACGATGGCGGAGCCAAGTGCAAAACGATCTAGGCAGCCCAGATTGCCCACTTCGAGTGCCGTGCGTGGTGTTTTGAAAAAGTTTCCTTTGCCAGGTTCAGTCACTGATCCTCTCGTCTTTTTCAGCAGCCATCATGACGAGGTCAGACAGGTTCTGCTCGAGGAGCTTCAGTCTCACCCGTTCAAGGTGGTTTTAGTTTTGAGGGTGGAGATGACACGAGAGTCGGCCACGGGTAGTACGTCTGCCGTCCCGTTTTTTAGAAGTAGACCGGCTCGGATCCTCAGCGAAGGGGACATTGATAGTGCAGTCAAGACGATGGTGGCGAGGATCACTTGTCTTATTGATAAGTGGGTGCAGAACGGATCCGACTGGATCGTTTCTCGAGTGAGACAGCTGGATGTGTCCACAGCAAAGTACACTCCTCTTCGAGGTGAGTTTCTGTTCATCCGGCAGTGTTTGTTCGAAGCCTATCGAATTTCTTGTGGAAAGTTGTAGATGTATTGTTTTGTACCAGATGTACAGTTTTTCGTGATTGACGAGAGGGTGTAGTTGTGATGTGGTGTTACTCTGAGCAAAGCTTTCGTTGTATTTTTGTGGTGTTCTGTAGGTGGTGCAGCTGATATCCCGCCCAAATTAGAAAAAAAGAAGGCCATCATTAACGTAAAGAACAACGATGACAGATGTTTGATGTGGGCGTTGTTGTCAGCGCTGCACCCCGTCGACTACAACCCACAGCGTGTATCCAAGTGCACCCAGTACGTTGAGGAGCTGCGGTTCGACGGTGTGATGTTCCCTGCAACGCTCAGTGATGTACCCAAAGTGGAGTTACAGAATGGTCTTGCAATCAATGTGTTTGGCTACGAGGGGAATCTGTACCCACTCTATCTACGCGAGCGACAGGAGACTCCCATCAACCTCCTTCTTCATGACAACCACTTCACATGGATAAAAAACTTCAGTCGTGCATGTGAGAATAAGAACAGACATGCAACACACTACTGCTTGCGATGCCTCTCCGCACACAAAACAGCAGACTCCCTGCAGCATCACAGCGAGAGATGTCAGGTGATGAAGCCCGTGCCAGTAGTCATGCCCACAGCAAAGGACAGCATCCTCAAATATACAAATTTGAAGCACAGGATGGTGGCTCCATATATCATTTACGCTGATACAGAGGCCATCATTGAGCCGATTGAGGAACAGCATGGCAGCAGCACTGTACGCACAGCACGTCATGTACCATGCAGCATCAGGTATGTTTTGTTGTTGGTGTTGTTTTTGACTAATGTTTGCTGTACTCATACCTGCACAGTGCTTGCTGTTATTCCTTCTTGTCTTGTTCTCCCCTAATTGTGTTCGTGTTGTAGTATGTGCATTTTGTGTGATTACATTTTTTCAAAATCACTCATTCTTACTTTCCTTCTTCTTTTATGCTCTTGTAGATATGCTGCCATCCGATCCAACGGTGAAGTCCGGGGCGAGTTTGACGACTGCAGTGAGAATGCCATTCACAACTTTTTCGAAGGTCTCAAAGAGTTGGAAGGCAGTATTCAGGAGGATTTGGCTGATATCCAGCCAATTCGCATGACGGCAGAACTGGAGCTTGAGTTTCAGAACGCAGTCAACTGCTGGATATGTGATGAAGTACTTGGAGAAGATCGTGTTCGTGATCATGATCATCTCACTGGTAAGTATTATATTTTTTTGTTTATTTTTTTTGTTTTGCAGTTGTGTGTAGATATGCGCATGATGTGTATAGTGCATTTTCATGTATTTGTAGCTGTTTGCATATGTGTTTTATCACGGTGTATTGAATTGTATTGTCAGTGGTATCACCTTCACTGTAGATGTTTACTATGTTTGTGTATTCCCCTCTTTCTGAATATCTGCACAGGCAACTACCGTGGTGCTGCACACTACCAGTGTAATATTCAGCTGAGTATCTGCCCAGATCGCCAGATCATTCCGGTTGTGTTTCACAACCTGAAAGGGTACGATGCTCACCACCTCATCGCCCACATTGGTATGACCGAGGTTGAAGAGGTGGAGTACGAGGACTCTAACCAGCGTAAGCGAATTAAGAAGGTTGGTGAGATCAGTGTCATCGCCAACAACATGGAGACATATATTTCATTCAAGTGGCGTCAGTACCGCTTCATCGACTCCATGGCCTTCTTGAACTACTCTCTGGACTCGTTGGTGAGCAACACCCCGGAAGATGCGTTCAAGCTTACTCGTACATTGGCCCATCATGACCTTCTCCTGCGTAAGGGTGTCTACCCCTACGAGTACATGGACTCCTTTGCTCGGTTTGATGAGACACAGCTGCCACCTAAATCAGCATTTGAGTCTAGTTTGACTGGAGAAGGTATCAGTGATGCCGACTAAGCCCGTGCTCAGAACGTATGGCAGGTAAGCAGCTTGTGCCTTCTGTATTGTGCTCTACTTATGACTTTGAATGCTGTTGTGATGTGCTCTACTCATTGTTTTGTACTCATTGCTCTCTATCTGTGGATATGTGGATGCTTGTGTGTATGGATGTGTGCATGTGTGCGTGCGTTGCTGTTTTTTTGTTTTGTTTTTCGTTTTGCAGACATTTGAGTGCAGTACAATGGAGGCCTATCATGACCTCTATTTGCAAAAAGATATCTATCTTCTAGCAGATGTCTTTGAGCATTTCCGCAAGACAGCATACAAGACGTATGGGTTGGATCCAGCTCATTACCTTACTCTCCCAGGTATGTTCATCAGTCTTTGTTGTTGTCCAATGTATTCTCTCCTTCAGATGGTGTTCTTTGTTAGTATTCTTGTACTTTCTTGTCGGTGCATATTTATACTTTTTGCATGGTGTATTGACTTTCGTGTTTGTGTTCTGGTGTGTTGTATGGTGTTATGTAGGATATGCATGCAGGGATCGATTTACTTTGATTTTTTTGCATAGCAGTCACTGCTACATAGTTTTACAATTGACTAGCAACTCCCAGTATTGATTAGCAGTTTTCCTTCATCGAAAGTTTACATGTATATCTGTACAATAGCAGGATTTTGTACAGAAGAGGACAATAGCTGCAGTTGCTATTTGCTTTTCCAAACGAACGGTTGACCTGAATATTTTACGTCAGGGTTTTCGCTGGGGCTTATTACAATCATGTTCAGCGTCCATCTGACTTCGAGTTCTTCACAACACAATGTCCTTCCACAGGGCAGTTCCACTGATTCCTTCGACAAATAAAGCGCAGGAAAGCGCTCAAACGATCGTGACACTTCGTTCAAAGCGCACAGAATTTTCGCTTTTCTCCTTTTCTTCATCGAAACGAATCGGCCACTCCTGGCCAGCGTCCAGTTCTTTTTCCCGCTTCTGGACAGTGATCAGATTCACTGACATGTTGGCTACACGAGACTAAGAACTATCTACTTCAACTGTGTCTTGTCGAACAGAAACAAACTAAATTGAGCTTGATAGTGAAAGAAGAAAGGAGAACTTCAGCCTTTTCAGGGAAAGTCGCCGCCATGTACCATGATGTACTGCAGTCTTATACGACCAGTGCAGTGTGGCTAGTGCAGTGTCCAAAATCAAACAGAGCGCGATCCGCGACCCGCGCGGACTGAGCAGGACAGGTCAGTTTGGAGTAGTAAAATATTACTCCCTAGTCAGCAGTGTGTACAGCAGTAGCATGCAAACTGCACACAAAGAGTACAGAATGGTCTTTGTACATACCGGTATGCATGACCAGTGCATCGCAGTTTTGGGCGATAAAAAACAAAAAGCGAATCGCAGCCAGTGAATTTTGATTCGCTAACTGCGATGCGAACCCGGATAAATCGATCCCTGTGCATGGGATGCTCTACTACGGTTCACCCAGATTGAACTGCAGCTGCTCACGGATGTAGACATGCATCTGTTTGTCGAAGCCGGTCTACGTGGGGGCATCTCGATGGCGTCGCAGCGGTACGGCAAGGCCAACAACCCAACGATGGTTCAGTACAATCCTGCCGAGCCCACATCATACCTGCTATACCTTGATGCCAACAACCTGTATGGCTGGGCTATGTGCCAGAGTATGCCGACATCCGAGTTTGCCTGGTGTGACAAGAACCTGTCCGAGATACTGGCACACCCTGTAGATTCGAGCACTGGGTTCATTGTGGAGTGTGATCTTGAGGTACCCTCTTCGCTGCACCACTACTTCAATGAGTATCCACTCGCACCGGAAGTGATGAGAACATTCTCAGATAAGCTATCACCATACCAACAAGCACTTGTGGAGGAGCTCAAAGGGTCAGCCGTAAATGGAGTCAAGTTGACACCCAGTCTCCTACCCAAGTCCAAGTATGTGTTACACTACCGTACACTGCAGCTGTATTCGCGTCTGGGCATGGTGGTGACCGCTGTTCACAAGGTGTTGGGATTCAGCAGAGTGCCTGGATGTCTCCCTACATCTATCTGAACACTGCACTTCGCACGAGGGCTACAACCGACTTTGAGAAGAGCTTTTACAAGGTAAATGCAACCGTTGTGTGCAGTCTTGTATGTTGTTGTTGTTGTTTTTTTGTCGCATGTATGGTGCAAGTGTGACGTGGAGTATGCTAATTGAAAATATGCTGATGTGAAGGAATGGCATGATATGATTCTCATGTGTCATGTTTGCCTGTTTGTGTGCTGCAGCTGATGGACAACTCAGTCTTTGGCAAGACGATGGAGAACGTTCGTAATCGAACACGCATCGATCTCTTGTGAGAAGAAAGTGAGGAGCAGGTACTGAGGGCAGTGAGCAAGCCTACATATGTGCGGCACGACATTTTCCCGAACGGGCTTGTCGGAATAGAAAAGCAGCACACTGAGATCAAGCTCAACAAGCCAGTCTATGTGGGTATGTCGATACTAGACCTGTCAAAGGTGCATATGTACTCCTTCTACTACGATGTGCTGAAGGAGCAG